TGGCTAACGATAGCGAAACTAAAGACAGCGGGGCATAGTGCTGACCACATTATTCCTTCATATACTGAAGTCACTGAAACAAGTTAACTCTATTCTCCTTGCTGCATTGGAGATAAAAATTGAAGGGGTACTTTACTTTTATATGTACGATTGGTAAATAACCTTACTTGGTGTTACCAGTAATAACAAGACAGGGCCTACAAAAAAAAAACGAATATTTTAAAACGCGTTTGGATATTTTTACTTTCTTGTATGCAAAAACAAGTTAATTAAAAAGTCTTGTGATAATGTAAGCGCAATTTCCTTATGTTATCTAAAAATAGCTCTGACGTATAATGCTGGGGTGCGTTCAAGCTAGGAGAACGATCGATTTGTATGTGTTTATGTAATTTTAAAATTTGTGACCAAACGAAAGGATATTTTTGAAAACTTTCTTCGGCAATATTGTTCTAAATTATGGCAGAAATCGATTGGTAAATGTTTCAAGTCGCTAAGTGGTCTGGTTGCCGAGATATGGGCCGAAAACTGCATTTTGTCGAGGTTTTTTGGCTTTTCCGGGAAATCCAGGAAGGAATTCCGGATTTTTTTGGCCCACTATCATCCTCGTAACTTGCTTAACATAATTGCTTTGGAACTAGTCCTCGATATTGCTTCGTTGAGGAGGAAATACGACTTAAAGCTGCGAACACACATCCATATCCAGAAATGACGGGTTAATAAACGCAATTCTCCAGAATGGAAATTGCGCTAAAAATCACATGAAATTTTAAAGCCTTCACCATTTTCACTTTCACTCAGTACTTCGTCATATAATGTGTAAGCCTATAGGGGATTTATTTTAATCGGGCAAAAATTCTAAATCCTGATTTTTAATTTTTTGTTTGGCTTTTTACGCGTAATTGAGTCGGAAAAACTGCAATTCTGTCTGTATATCTATGTGTGTGTTTGTGAACTGAACAACTTGAGTACCTTTATGGCTAGGCTGATGAAATTCCATATGTAAGTATTACATTAAACAAAATTATTCTGTAATTAAGTTTAGCGATTTCTGATTAAGGGAAGTGGAACTTATTCGACTATAGCTTGAGTACCGTTTTTGGTTGAAAGATAAAATTGCACATATAAGTAAAATATCTATATCTCTGTATTCTGTAAATTTTGATTATTTACTCCTACCAGAATTGGTACTTTACACTATTTCTGATTTCTCAAAAAATCATATTCATTTATAAAGTATTAATATTCCGCACTACAACGCAAACTTTGTTTGCTAATTATTTTTTTCAAGAGACTATAATTTATTCAGTTTTAAAAAGTTTAAGTTTGTAAAAATTAGTTAAAAGCATGTCTATATCGCGATTGACCTTTCCTATTGGTGTTAAAAAAAAATATTCGAGAAAGTTTATGGGGGATCACTCCCGCTTAATTTGTTTAATTAAATTGATTATGAAATGATAACTATGTTCATATAAACACACGAGATAGATACAAAAAATAGTGGATTATTTAACATTTCTACATACTAGTATTTCATTTTCATTGTGATTAATTGTGTTGTTTTAGCATACAACATTGTGTAATCGTGAGTCAAAGGGAGACTACTTACATAAAAAAATCTTGTTTAGTGATGATTTAGATGAAAAACCCACACACTTATCGTCATTCCCCTGTTTGCACACAGGCGCGCACACCATGTACCTAGTTGACAGCGGAGGTTGGTAAGGTTGCTGAATGTAACTGTCGCATCTGGTTAAAACTTATATAAGGCTGTTCGCAACTTTATCAGTAGTCCTCGTGGTATATAGACGTGTACTGGGTTACTTGCAACGGTTGGTTAATTTAGGGGTCGCGCAGAGGGTAAAATTAGATTTAGATTTAAAAAATCACACATTGTGCTACAAGTAGTGTTGTTGTCTGCATGTAAAACACCTCGAGCTATCTAGCTACACTTTGTAGTCGTGTTTGTACAACGATATTTTACTTTATAATGTGTGATTTATTTTAATAACTCACATGGTAACTATGTATGAATGTAATAGAGACTTTTTCGATAGGAAATACACACTATAGTGAAGACGATTTGAATACAGCTAAATACGAAACAACATATACAATTGTGTTAGAAATACAAATACCCCCCCCCCCAACTAAAGCATGGAGGAACGTCGGTAAGGTTGCTGGATGAACCGGTTGCATCCGGTTTAAATTGTACGAAGCTTGTTTAGATGCAGTCCTTGTGTTAGAAAGACGTGTATTGGGTTAGTTGCAACGGTTGGTTGATTTTGTGTCGTGTAGATGCTATTATTAGTTTTAGATTTATAAAAAAACTCCTTGTGTTACAAGATGTCGAGTCATCCAGCAACACACTAAAATCGTGATGTACAGAGAGATTTTACTTAATAATATGCGGATTTTAAAAATAACTCACATGACTGCTATATGAGAATATAACAATGAATATTTTATTAGGAACTACACACTATATTGGAGACAATTTGGATACAGCTAAGTACGAAAGAGAGTTTACATTGGTGTTTGAAAAATAAATTCAGTACACCCCCAGCCATATAAACCCACGTATAATAAAGTTAAGTATGTGACCTCTGCATATGAAGGGATGGTGTGGTCAGCTGCCTTTACTTTCCCTAATGTTAGTTGGGTACCCATCGGAGCTGGGCGGACTCAGGGACTATCTACTGACTTTAACCTGGATTCAAACTCGAGACTTACGGGTTAGCAGTCTAGCTCTCTACCGCTAGGCCACTCCATCCCCTTATATAAACAACTTAATTGAAATCCATATCCATCTATGAACAAAGCGCTTGCGATTTAATCGCGGGTACCAGTAAGTCTTAATAATATTGAACAAATATATAGGCTACTTGTTCTCTTTACAAGTTACGATTTTTTTTTTAGCGCAATTTCCATTCTGGAGAATTGCGTTTATTAACTCGTCATTTCTGGGAATGGATGGATGGATGGATGAGTGTCCGGGCTTTAAGCCGTATCTCCTCCTCAACGAAGCAATATCGATGACTAGATCCAAAAGCAATTATGTTAAACAAGTTACGAGAATGAGCATAGGCCATAAAAAATCCGGGTTTCTTTCATGTATTTCCAGGAAAAGCCAAAAAACCTCGAAAAAAAATCAGTTTTTGGCCCATATCTCGGCAACCAGACCACTTAGCGACTTGAAACATGTACCAATCGATTTCTGTCATAATTTAGAACAATATTGCTGAAGAAAGTTTTCAAAAATATCCTCTCGTTCGGTCACAAATTTTAAAATTACATAAACACCTACAAACCGATCGTTCTTCTAGCTTGTACGCACCCCAACATTATACGTCAGAGCTATTTTTAGATAACATAAGGAAATTGCGCACAAATGTCACTAGACTTTTTTATTTAACTTGTTTGTAATATTTTCTATACAGTTGAAATCGGGAAATAACATATTCTTAATTAAATAATATTACAAACCTCACATATGATGTTGATGTTTCATGGGACTTTTTAAAAATTTCTGTTGATTATGACATGCCCATACAGCTAAATGGAGAAGATTTGCGAGAAACAAACACAATTACATATCTGGGAAGCGTGATCAATAAGGACGGGGGAGCAGACGAGGACATAAAATGCAGTATCAACAAGGCTAGATGTGCCTTCAACTCATTGCGCCCGATGTGGAGGTCCACGGCCCTGTCACTCCGGAGCGAAATTGGGATCTTCAACACAAATGTCCAGGCAGTGCTACTCTATGGCTCGGAGACCTGGAGGGTTACAAAGACAAATACTGATAGGCTACAGGCGTTCGTAAACAAATGCTTACGACATATACTCAAAATAAGATGACCAGACAAAATATCAAACAAAGACCTGTGGCAATTTTAAAACAACAGCCGATAGAGAAAGATATTAAGGCCCGTAAATGGGGATGGATCGGACACACGTTAAGAAAAGAAAAAGAAAACATCGCAAAACATGCATTGGACTGGAATCCCCATGGGAAAAGTAGGGTGGGCCTTCCAAAAACATGGAAGAGAACGGTTGAGAAGGAGGCGAAAACAGCTGGGCTCTCATGGGCACAGATTAGAGGAGCAGCCCAAAACCGTGTCCGCTGGAGATGTGTGGTTGCAGCCCTTTGCTCCCCAGGGGCCACAAAGGAGTGATGATGTTTTAATAACTTAGAAATCTTAAATAACAGATGATTATTTTTTATGAAAACTTAGAATCTTAAATAACAGATGATTATTTTTATAAAAACTTAGAAATCTTAAATTACATATGATTATTTTTACAAAAACGTAGAAATCTTAAATTACATATGATTATACTGAAATAATAGCACCACACTAAGACAAGACAACAGTAGTGAAGTATAAATATAAAGCCTCAGAAAGTTTGACTGGGCGGTCCTGTTCAGATAGGGTTTTGTTAGATACTACTGTGTCATATATTGATGTCCTAATTGCAATGTAAGTCAATTCGAGTCAAGGTGTTTTATGTGTAATTCATATTGGAAAGGATGTAGCGCTAATAGCACAAAGTGGTATTTCGACAAACATATTAACCACATTAAAATTTATATTACAAAGCTAAATATTGTCTATTACAAGGAAAACTATATTTTGTTTTGCTTGCAAACTAAATCGATATTTAATGATGTTTTAATTCAGTCATTCTGAGTTCACTCTAGTACAAGCTAAATCACGTCTATGGAAATGCAGCTTAAACTATATGAAAATCAAACAATTTTACTATTTAAATATTCCTAATAGTAAAATTGTTTTATTTTTAAATAGTTTAAGCTACATTAAATAATTCTATTATGTGAATGTGTCTAACTCTAAATTATATTCGATCTGCATTCAACCGGTTTTTTAAAAGTAACATGAAACATAGTCCAGAATTGAGAATTCTGAGAAATATAAAACAATAACGTATACAATTTATAAAAAAACATCAATTTCTTACCTAACGACAATTTTACTTACCTTTTAAATCACAACACTGATAGAACAGTCAATTAGTTAAACATAGAATAATGGTAGTTAAAGTAAAAAGTATTAAATTTTACACATCTGTTTCAGTAAAAAAGACTCAAAAAACAAAATAATATCTACCCAGGCTAATGTTGCTTACATCCTGGTTTCATCTCTTGGCCGACACCAGTACTGATGTCACGCTCTGATTAACACATAGTGTGTTTTTGCTACACATCACATACAGCTGTCATCCTAACATAACGTCTCCGTTAACTTAGCATGATGTACATATATTTTATATTCGAAAGTTATTTTATTCATTAAAGAATTCTTAGTAGAGAGTACAACTGCAGGCGATGTAACCGAACAAGAAGTGTTTTTTTGTTTAGACATCATACTTTTTTCACGTTGATATATTTGATATTACATAATATTTTACCATAACATTTAGGTTGTCAACTGTTATCAGTGGCATTGTGAAAGAAAGTGCCGGGCAATGCGGTGATTAAAAGGGTCGCCGTTATGCCCGGAAAATGAATTGTGATTTATATCTTATTTTTGTGGTAATTTAATAAAATAAATTTGTCATTTATATACAATTACTGTTCAATAGTAACCTTTAATGGCATTAATTACTGGTTTAGCTAGGTTCTTGAATAGGAAATCATTAAAAAAATATTCAAAAAAAGTGTACCTTATTTTTGTAAGATATTATATATTTTTCGTCCTACAAGTTTATCCTATACATTTATTTTGCTTGCCTTTTTGGCAGCAACATTATGGACGACGGCATCGAAATTATTTGCTTCAGCGAGGTGTCTTTCTATTTATAAAATCGCATGGTTGAGTTAAACACAGTTCACCTGTTTCTCTTAACGCAGAATATGAAGGCAGAGTTTCTTCCAGGCATCTTTTCGAAAAAAAATTACCGCCCACCCCCCCCCCCCCCGAAGAAAGTCTACCGCCCCCCCCCCCCCCGAAAATTTCAAGTGCCCCCCCCCCCTCCCCGGAGAAAAAAGTCTGTAAGAAACACTGTATGAAGGGTTAGTGTAGTCAGACCCATGTTGAATCAAAATGGGTGTTTTGAAAGAAAATAATATGTCTGTGCCGTCTTTTTCAATCTAGGTTCCGGCTTTTTGTGACGATGTGTGACAGTGGGGAGGGGAGGGAAAGATGAAAATCGCCAAATAAACAAGTCGTCATTTATGGATGACCCTTGAAGCTCAAAGTTATCCAAAAATAACGGGTAGTCTAGTACAAATTAGTTTAATATGTTAACGTTTGGGTGAGCACCGTAACGACTTATTAGTAACAACGCAAAAAAAAAATCCCAATATCTAAAAAACTTAAACACTTATACAACAGGTAAGGAAAACATAGTATTGGATAAAACATAACGATACATGACACATTAAATCTAACATCCACCATAAACTTGAAAATCTGGTTCCAATTGGTTCCAAATTGGGTTTTGCCTGAAAGCTCATTTTTCAAACAAAACTGATTTTTAAAAACATTTAAGAAATAAGTACAAAATGAATTTTGGTTTTATTAATATTCAAACAAATGATTGCTTGTAATTGGTAGTTAAGCTAATACTTTTATTTTTAATTTGGATTAGTAGATTCAGGGTGTTGTGGTGATAGGGGATGTTATAGTATTTAATATAAATAAACAACTACGCTAGACTCCATTGACTGTTATTTAGTATTTTATCATAGAAAACAATTGTTTTGATTTTCATTGTTTTACTTTCCGTGGCCACTACGGTGACTAGAGGTTTGAGTGGTTAGTAAAGTAGACGGTTGAGTGGCTTATGAAGTAGAGGGTAGAGTGGTTAGTGTAGAGTGGAGGTTGATTGGCTAGTGTAGTAGAGGGTTCAGTGGCTAGTGTTAATCAGAGGGTTGAGTGGCTTATGGGGTGGGTTGGATTGTGTGGAGTTAAAATGTGGCTATTTAAATTTCATAGATAAAAAATCTAAATCAGTTTTTATCTAACACTACTATTAGTTAAGACTTTATTTTATTAACTAGTTCAACACACGTAAGTATAAGGTTCATATTTGTCTAGGTCAGGGGTCTGCAACCTTTCGAAGCGGAAGAGCCAAAAGTTACAATTTTCAAAATTTCTCTGGTTTTAAAGAGCCACTAAAAATTTTTATTTCAAGTATTTTATTTATTTATTAAGATGATTAGTATCTGTGCAAGGAGCTGGAAAGCCGCATCTTGACATCAAAAGAGCCGCATGCGGCTCGCAAGCCGCAGGTTGCCGACCCCTGGTCTAGGTGTTTATTGTTTTTGTGCTTGCTTGGCTACAAACTATGTATTCTTCTGTTGTTAAACTAATATATGTATTTGTTCTTGGTTCAAACAAAAGTGACTCATCATTTGTATTAAAACTAACACTTTATTGAAAAGTTACATTTACATGAATAATCTGAAACCTGATTATATATAGTTATATTAAGATATTTTCTAAAGTTCTAGTAGAAAACACAACGTTTAAAATGATTAATACATTTTTTTTTCATAAACACATCTTTGCATAGATTATTGTATGTTGAAGACTTCTTAAAAAAAAACAACTGCATTAGATAAAATATAAAGATACTTTTTCGAAAAAAAACACGACTTTGAACATTGTAAACGTGAAATTTGTCGTCAGCAATGGACAGTTGGATACTAAACGTAACACAACCATCGGATGGTACCAGATCTGACTCGTCTTCATCGGAACACATGGCCGCTACATTAAAGCTAATGGACCAGATCTACATCGCTATGTTATTTATTGTAAACACTACAATAGGTGTCGTAGGTCTGATATCCAACACATTGGGGTTGGTTGTCTTAGTAAAGGGCGGCCTCCATAAATCATCGGCAATTTTCATGTTGTCTTTGACTATAGCGGACTCTCTGTGCCTGGTGGGTGCAGTTCAACCAGCCAACTTACTCGAATATACCATAGCAAATGATTTTACATCCGCTTTTGTCGGTTGGCTCTATCCCTTTGATATAGCTTTTTTCTTGTTTTTTCTATGGCAAACAATGAGTTTTTGTGCACATCTTGGGATGTCAGTTTCATTAACACTACCGCCTGTGATATCTATTGAGCGATTTGTTGCAGTGTACTTTCCTCTCAAATTTAAACAAATGATGACAAAGAAAACAGCTAAAGTAGTTGTCCTCACCGTATACGTCGTTTGGTAGCCATGGATAGTTTTCTACAGCACGTGTGCCACTTTTATGTACACACAATCTGGCCTAGGAACAGAAACACTTACGTTATATTGTCGTGTTCATTGGGAAGAAATTGCAATTTTTAATTACTATATTTTCAATTATCTGACCAGCGTTTGTCCGTTGATGATCGTCGTGACTGGAGCTGTATTGATTGCCGTTAAAATACAACTGACTGCGCGTAACAGGAAGAAGATTTCAACCAATCAGAATTTAAGTGTCCAACGGACAACCAGGACTCTGGTCATTGTCTCTCTAATCAACACACTGGTCAACTTCGTCTACTTTTTGGTTACGACTCTACTTGCTGACCAGATGGTTACAAATCTAAATCTGGAGGCTCTTGTTCTGCAAGTTTTATCCGCCTTGCTCTATATTGGCAACGCCAGCAATATTTATGTTTGCATATTTTTAAACAAAAAGTATACTTCAATACTGTTTGAGATGCTGGGTCTATGAAAGAAACATGAGTGATACAATAACATTCAATGGCTGTCACCATTGCTGCCGTGTGATGAGTGTTTGCATCAAAATATCAGTCACACACATGGGGCCCAGCGGGTAAAGTCTCCAAGATCTTATAATATATATGTTTAAATATTGTGTTTTTGTGTTGTTAAAAAAAATGTGTTCTAAAAATTATGTAGTTTTTGTAAAAAAATACTAGATATTCAATGTATCTGAAAGTTTAATATAAGCAGTGTAATTTTGACTGATATAAGTACATTAACAAAAACGCTAACGTAGTGTATGGTGGGTGTTTCTCGCTTTATTTGGTTAAGAGCAGCTTATTAAATGTGATCAGTTTTTAGTTTATGTGAAGGACATGGTGCTAACCAGCTGCAGCATTGATAGATTAATTAACGTATGTGAATGTTAAATATTGTCGTAATATTTCCTCCTCTACATGTAAACGAAACCAATTCTATGCATTGTGGCATACATACTTGTATCATCATTATAGAAATTGTACAACTTAGTTTATACTTACAAAATATCCATTTATTAAAAAATAAAACAATATATTGCTATATTATACAACATTTTAAATTCTATTACTAGAAAGTTAAAATAATGCCATTAGCAATTAAAAATACAATTATATACTCAAAATTTAAAACTGTAAGAAAAGATAAGAAAACATCGAAAAGCAGTATCTACTTTATGAAATACGCTGTTTCTATGAGAATAGAGGGATAGGGAAACGAAATCGACAATGAAATGTTATAGAAGACACAGTATTGTGTTCTTTAAAAAAAAAAAACTTAACCAGTTATAAACGTGTCTTCTCTCAGCAAAGTTTCTGCAGATAGTCTTTCTTGTGCCTCAGGATTAAAAGACTATTCTAGAAAATCTTTTAGATGTTTTGACGAAGTTTCCGGTATATTGTAATTAACTTTCTGTAGCGTAGCAATTTTAAACAGGACCCTGACTGATGTTGTTGTTGAGTTTGGTGGTGATCCAGTTATCATCTCTACTACAGTACAGCCCACACTCATTGAAATTTAAATTCGTAAGCATAATGCATTTTCGAGTTATAGTTTTTTACTTGTCAAAAACTCAATATTAATTTAAGTGTGCACACAAAATTACAATTTTTTACACCCAAAACTAGAAACATTAGTATTTATCCTAATAGAAATAACAGTCCTCACCATATATATATATCCATGCTACAAGCGTTTTTAAATATTCTCCCATCAGGGCAGTTAATCATATCTGGTGCAATGTATAGAGTTGTGCCCCTTTCTGCTTCAACACCCTCTTCCTCGTTTAGAATTGTTGATAAACCGAAGTCTGTTTAATGTTCGTCTCATTCACCATTAAAATGTTGTTTCCTTTTTAAAATAGTTATTTTGTTTGTATTTGGCAATAATATTTTCTTAATAATT